GTGTACACATGTAATCTGAAGAAGGGGCTTGCCCCGAAACGTAATAAAAAGTTGTTATATGAGCTCTGATGTATCATTGAATGATTTATATAAATGTTAGGCTCTAGAGAAAGTTGGCTCAGTGATAGATTTAGATTTATATGACGCAAGACAAGCCTTGCTGACGCGGAGGCTTGTCTTGCGTCATCGGTTTGAATTTGCACGCGCTAAATTTTTCCCTATGGCAGCACTTTGCATAAAACTCTGATCGCGTGTTGAGTGATTTGTTCCCTTTCGCTTTCGAGATGCATAACTTTTCTTCCAAACAGAGGCCACATCGCTTTCCACCAGGCGTGTACGCAGCAGCTCTACATCATCAGACCGTTGATGATGTAGAGTTCCACCAGGCGTGTACGCAGCAGCTCTACATCATCAGACCGTTGATGATGTAGAGCTGCTGCGTACACGCCTGGTGGAACGTTCTGTTTGGTCTCTATCATCAGACCGTTGATGTTGACGAATCAAACATACACTGAATTAATTGCCTGAATGTATGTATGTATGTATGTATGTATGTATGTATGTATGTATGACTCATACACGCGTAAAAATCTCACATCTTGTAGCAAGTCTGCCAACAAGCCGTCAACAAGTTGTGTTTGCACTGCTTGTCCCAAGTTGTCAACAAGTCCGATACAGTCATGATATAGTGTTACAACCTTGTGTTGTCAACCTTGTAACATTCTTGTTTATCATGACTATTCAGACTTGTTAGAACAACCTTGTGACAAGTCTGATAATGCCATCAAGCTTTGTTACTATAGTCCGACTTATAGCAGCTGATGTTGAATAAAATTAACATATATTTGAAACAAACGTCAAAAGATACAAAAATGCAGCATTTATACTTGTACTTGTACTTGTACTTTACTTTACTTTACTTTACTTTACTTTACTTTACTTTACTTTACTTTACTTTACTTTACTTTACGTTTAGAACCGTTTGGTTCTACGACTAAACAAAAACTAAACAAACAACATGGCCGCCCTATTTGCCATGCCAAAAATGCGTCCACTGCGCATGCGCAAGGCGGGAAAATCCATACGGTAGCTACCCCGGCCCCTAAATGGGCATATACTAATAGTCCATTTACAAACTCCATGAAGGCTACCGTTCTTAACCTATAACACAAATATAATATAAATTGTCAAATTTCACTGTTTAGTTCAACATGCTCATAGTCCTAGCCAGGTTACTCTCCGTCCATTTCAAGTAAACACAACTTTGCCACAGGCCGTGTTAGTATCGTTGTATTGATCTTGTTCTCTCCCCTTCTTCGGTGTTTCGCTATAAAGCAACGTCTTTATTTAATTTCAACCAATTTCGAAGTCCGTTAACTACATATCTATGTGGTTGTTCATCTAAGAGTATATCTTCGATTTTTTCTGTGAGGAGTTTTGAACTTTTTCGACGGCCATTCTTGCATTCTCGACATCTTTGTTTGCTGCGGTTAACTTGCTCTCAAGTTGTGCGATATTCTTCGCTAGGGCTGATCTTTTAGACTTCTGGTTGTTATGCTTCGATAACATTCCACAGGAAAAGGCTGACCGACAAGGACTAAATCCACACGCTTTTCGAGTGTGACCGAGTTTGAGATGGCAATTTCCGCATGCATTGAGATGTCCTCGGTTCTGGTCGCACGCTTTCTGTAGTTTGAAATCGAAATCCGTGAGTTCTTTCGTATTACTTGTCAACTCGTCTGAATAATTTTGCACGACCTCAGCCTGTTTCTTGGCATATCTTTCTAGTGGTAATACAATGCGCGGTGATTCTTGTTTACTTGTAGGTGAGGACTCCGGCGTTGTGTTTATTATAGAAATACTGGTATGAGCTAGGATTTGCAATGTTATTGATGTTAGTAGTATTTTGTAAGTTTAGGCACCTTCTACTTTGGAAAACCTCGTCTGACTTACGTTCTTTGCCTGCAGAAACAGAAGTATTACTAAAGGCGACTGGCGACTCTGCAACAGCAACGCGAACACAAATTATCTTCATTCCTTTATTCAGGAAAGAGAACATTTGTGACGAAAAATATTTGGTGGAAATGTCAACCTCAGAATTATCGTCGTCCACAATTGTCATTCTAAGCGCCACGGCTTCCGAAGAAATTTTCTTCAAATGAGGAACTTCTTTTAGCACCAACCCATGAAATCCTTCGAATGTTAATGATAATAAATCGTCATTTGAAATAAAAATCGGGGTTACACGATTTTTGTTATAATATTTGTACTCTACTCTTAACTCCGTAACGTTATCCATCGTGTAAACAAGCGCTGAGTTCCCGAATAGACCACACCTTCCCGTGTGTATTTTGGCGCCACATTAAATTTAGCCTTAGCAACAATCGAAATCTTACTTACCGACACATGCGTTCGACCGCCGGAAGTATCTGCATGTCATGACGTCATTAAGCACTCAACTGCAATCCGCAGTATCTGACTCTTTCTCATAAACATTCAAACTTACTATTGCTCGTTCCTCTTCCATTCAGGCTTCCATATATTCTTTCTCGAAATTCAACTCTGTCATTCTTCGTTCGAGTTCGTGCTGTTTCAGTAGTTGGCTTCTCTTCAACTGAGCGAGCGCTAACTGTTCTTTCTTTTTTGACACAGTTGAACATCAGTTCTTTATAACTTCGACTTGCAATATCCTTTTCCTCTTCGCTCACGCGTAACTCCATGTATTGTTCGTGCTTGCTGACAAATTCTCTCCAACATTCATCGTAATGCTCTTTCTTTGTCTTGATATTATCCACTGTTTCACCAGCATAAATTGCCTCCTGTATCCATCCTTTCGTCTCTGTGAGGGTATTCATTAAGTGTATACGAGTCTTAAACAAAGCATTTATCTTCTCTTTTTCCATTTCTTCTTTATCTAACTGAACATCTCTCCATGTACCTTCAAGGCATCCTTGTCCAGGCTCGGACCTGGCTGGGTTATCCTCAGTTGGTTCCCTATCATGTGCTGTTGGCCACGATCGCACTGACATTACTGTTGATCATCCAGTATGAGTTATAATACAAATGTACCCAGAAACATATGTTCCTGAATAAAATTAACAACTTATATTCCCCGTCCCTGACAATAAATATAGTCCAAACTCACCGTCCTTGACAATAGGGCCATTTATACGAGACAAAATAAGGCGCGACTTACATAAGACGCGACTTAAATAAGCGGAGTTATCGCATAAATTGTTCTCTACGGCTTTATTCTTATTTACTTGCTATAGCTATAATGTTGTTACGGTTGTTTTTGTTTTAATATGCAAGGCTAATAATTGTACGTTGTTTCAAGTTTCGGGGCATGTGTAGTTAGAATGTTTGTCCAAAATTTCTTATTTAAGACGCGACTTACATAAGAACAGCTAAAAGTCCTGTTCTTATTTAAGTCGCGTCCTATCCAAGACGCGTCTTACATAAGAATTTTGTGCCTTTTATACGACAAACTCGCGTCTTATTTAAGTCGCGTCTTATGTAAGTCGCGTCTTATTTTGTCTCGTATAAATTGCCCTATTATATACACTCCAATATTCTGTTCAAACAAGAATACCCTGTATAATACAAATGCACTGTCCCAGACGATATAAATTATCCTTCAAGTGAAATATAGACCTTCAGGTGAAATTTACTCCAAAATACTCGTTCCGAACGAGAATATATACGTCTTTGATAATAAATATACTTTACAATGACCAGATCTTGAGTAAATATAGTCAGATATAACCGTTTCTAACGATAAAATCTAGTTCCAAGGCACCGTCCCTGACGATATAAATATACCTTTAAATAAACCAGATCTTGAAGTGAAATATAGTCCAAAATAACCCGTTCCTAACGAGAAAACACAGTTCAAATGCACCGTCCCTGACGATATAAATATACTGACTTTTAAATAAACCAGATCTTGAAGTGAAATATAATCCAAAATAACCAGTTCCTAACGAGAAAACACAGTTCAAATGCACCGTCCCTGACGATATAAATATACTTGAAATACACCCTCTTTTTCGAGAAAATATACTCAAACTAACCCGTTCCTAACGAGAAGATACCGTATAATTCAAATTCTCCGACTCTGACGATCAATATTCACTTAAACTAACCAGAAATGCAATCCAATAAACTTGTACTTGCCACAAATGTACACTCCAAATAAGCTAGTCCAAATATCGATCCAAACTCATAGAAATATGGTTCTAAACTGTTACTATAGTCCGACTATAGCACCTGATGTTGAATAAAATTAACATATATTTGAAACAAACGTCAAAATATACAAAAATCCAGCATTTATACTTGTACTTTACTTTACTTTACTTTACTTTACTTTACTTTACTTTACGTTTAGAACCGTTTGGTTCTACGACTAAACAAAAACTAAACAAACAACATGGCCGCCCTATTTGCCATGCAAAAAAATGCGTCCACTGCGCATGCGCAAGGCGGGAAAATCCATACGGTAGCTACAAGCTTGTTACAAGTTGTCAACAGCTTGTTCCAAACTTGTTACAACAACTGGGAACAAGCAGTGCGAACACAACTTGTCGACAGCTTGTGAACAGATTTGTAAGAACTTGTTTGCAGACTTGTAACAACTTGTGCGTTTTTACGTGCGTAGTACGAACAGGGATGCCGGAAGATCGATAATAGCGGGTGCAGATATTCATATATTCGTGTTCACAGACTGTAAAAACAATCGATTTCAAAAGAAATTAATTGGGCAGAACGCGAATATATGAATATCTGCACCCGCTATTATCGATCTTCCGGCATCCCTGAGTACGAACTTTTGCGTTTATTTACATTTTTGACCATGTGACAAGTACACGTGGCGTATACGTTGCAACTGGTGAATTGTTGCATGTTTTAGGCCACTTGCATATTATTTAGTTTCTGATCCTGGGCTTTCCCCCAATAGTCTATAGGACCTGTGTATGAGTATTAGAATAATATGAAACTGGTTTTTCCTGTGTATGAGTTTGTATGCGTTTCATTTAGCACAGGTAATCTCAACTGTTTTAGGGTAAAATGACCATGGCGGTCAACATGGCTATGTGCCAAAACCTGAATCCGGGACGAAAGTCCTGAAAATGACCCCGCCCTGAAACGACAGTGTCAATAGCTCTAACTTCCGAAAAGGAAAAGCGATAGCCTTTCTGAAGTGCTTATAGTGTTTAGAAGGGTTGCTTTTAGGGGTGGTCATTGCAAAGAAAAATTTGTCTAAGTATATTTTACACGAAAATGACCATGCACCACCCCAGGTAAATTGCTAATTATGCATAAAATAACTAATATGCCAGGCAAACATTTTCATAAGGATTGTCATTGTTTTCTTTAAATGTAATAAATTTTATTTCACTTATCCCTCACGTCCATATTTTGCCGTCTTGTTTGCTTTTTATGTCTTTTATCGCCGAGTCTCTAAATATCATCCAGTTGTTGTACTTTTACATAATGATAAATGGCTAAAGAAGATTTCAACCAATTTTTATCAAGTTTTGAAACAATATCTTCGATATTGTGTCCTTAGATATTTCGTGAAATATGGCGCCATTGCAATGCCTCGCCGCTTCTCTTCCAAATGCCACTTCTTCGTCTTCCTTTGTATTTAAATTACAGTATCCAAGAGTACTTCATTGTAGAATAGTCCCAATAAAAAAATTGAAAACATTAGTTGCATTTGAAAGGAAAAACCTCCCCTAACACTTGTTGTATCAGAATCCAAAATAAGTAATTTAGAAGTCACGCGCAATTTCTCGAAAACTCCTCGTGGGCAACATGACAGGGTGTCGGGGTGAATATTTTTACGAAACGTTTGTTCGCCATCACAGCAACCTAACTAAATACATTATATTTATTGTATTTTTATGATTGATGATAAAAACAATACATATTTGGGTATTTTTATCATCAATCATAAAAATACAAAAATATAATATATTTAGTTAGGTTGCTGTGGTGGCGAACAAACGTTTCGTGACAATATTCACCCCCAGTCATGTAGCCCACCAGGAGTTTTCGCGAACTTGCGCGTGACTTTTAAATTACTTCTTTTGGATTCTTATACAACAAGTGTTAAGGGAGCTTTTTTCCTTTCAAGTGCAACTGATGTTTTCAATTTTTCGATTGGGACTATTATACAATGAACTACTCTTGGATACTGTAATCTAAATACATACGAAGACGAAGAAGTGGCATTTATTGGGCATGCAGAGAAGCGGCGAGGCATTGCAATGGCGCCATATTTCACAAACTATCGAAGGACACAATATCGAAGATAAAATACACTGCACTGCTTCAAAACTTGACGAAACTTGGTTGAAATCTTCTTTAGCCATTTATCATTATGCAAAAGTACAAGAATTGGATGACATTTGCGAGACTCGGGGGGTAAGTGAAATAAAATGTATTATACTTATAGAAAACAATGACAATCCTTATGAAATCCACAATAATTATATTAAATTAAGCATAGTTTTTTATCCCATGATAATTGTTTTTTAGGAAATAAGGAAATTTAATTGCTGCCAGGCATATTAGTTATTTTATACATAATTCGCAGTTGACCTGGGGTGGTACATGGTCATTTTCTTGTAAAATATTATACTTAGACAAATTTTTCCTTCCAATAACCACCCCTAAAAGCAACCCTTCTAAACACTATAAGCACTTTAGAAAGGCTGTCCCTTTTGCTTTTCAGAAGTTAGAGCTATGTCGACACAACCGTTTCAGGACGGGATCATTAGGACTTTCGTCCCGGATTCAGGTTTTGGCACATGCCATGTTGACCGCCATGGTCATTTTACCCTAGAACAGTTGAGATTATCTGTCCTAAATGAAAAGCATACAAACTCATATACAGGTCCTAGACAAAACAAAGTTGATGCGATGTGTCGCCTTTGCGCATTGCTCATACAATTTTCTGTTTAAAATTCGTTGAAAAGCGATGTGTTGCTATTTCAGCTTCGAAAAAGCGTCTAAGATATGGAAAGAAATGGTATATTGCAAATAAATCTTTTAAATTTGGTTTGTGAAAGTTCTAATGCTCTTTTTTGTATATTGTAATGGTCGAAAATGGCAATAATGGGCATTGAGGCGGGCAGGGGATGAGAAACTAATATGCAAAAAATGGTAGTTGCCTTAAGGTACGCTTTCATTAACTTTTTTTAAAGAGTGTTTAACAAGCTCTGTCTTGGAGGCAGAGGAATCCAACCGAGTACAAATACAGTGCACTAAGGAATTTTCCCGTCTACCGTAATCTCGCTTGTTGACAGGCGAGATTTCGGTGACCGGAATAATGTTTTTCCCACATGAACATGCACAACATATCCACAACTTTCAACTTTCTGTCGTGTCAGCAACTTTTCAATTTACGCTTTACAAAATGGCGGGCGTACTACTATTCACAGTTTCCCCAGGTATGCCCGGAGGGATATAAATATTTTTCGTCGTATTTCCAAGTTTCTAGTAAGATTAACTCTTTAGTCATTGATATGAATTGCGACTTTTCGAGAACATTAACGTTGCATCACCCAGAATTGTATATCTTTTTTTCAATATTTTCTAGAAAACAGCTATCCCAAATAATTCATTTCTCCTCAAGTATGAAGCGGCGTTCCACATTATTATTTTTTTCAATCTTTTTGGTGACTTTTGTGTTCATTTGTTGGAACATATATATGGGCTCTAATTACACCACAGTTCCGCCTGGTCTTCAAGAGAACGCGCATGCAAGTCTTTCGCCGAACAATTTCATTGGTTTTAATATGGGCTCTAAGTATACCACAGTTCCGCCTGGTCTTCAAGAGAACGCGCATGCAAGTCTTTCGCCGAACAATTTGATTGGTTTTAATATGGGCTCTAATTATACCACAGTTCCGCCTGTTCTTCAAGAGAACGCGCATGCAAGTCTTTCGCCGAACAATTTCACTGGTTTTAAATTTGACACCACCACTTCTTTAGTACAGGAAACACAAAGCGCTTCATCTATTCTGCTTTTTATAAGGATGTCAGGGAAACGCGAAGACCACAAGGTTCGATTTTATTGTAACATGCTTAAAACAGTGGTTCTCTTTTGGCCACCGTCGCTAGGTAAAACGATAATTGTGCTTGACAAGGAGTCAGAGGAGGATCATAAGTTTGGCGCCCAACTCAGCAATCAGATCCGTGAACACTTTCCCAGCTATACGTTTGAAGTGGGATATGAGCCATTACCGAGAGATGGAACTATTTTAGATTTCCCTGGTCAACGAAAACCTCCTGGCTATAACCGACAGTTATGGAGCAGTTTCTTAATTGATCTTTACACAAATGATGACATCGTAGCATGGCTAGATACCGACTCACCTTTCCTGTTGCCAGTCACAATGCCAACTATCATGACCGACGGAAAAGTTAGAATACTGGGCTCTACTTGCACAATGGGCATCAGTTGGGTAAAGTCTTGGGCAGAAACCACTAAAAAGGCGATAGGCTTTCCGCAGTTGGCCGATTTTATGACATATTTTCCGGTGTACATGTATCGTGACACTTTCACTCGTTGCAGGGAGTACATACTGAAAAGATTCAATACTGACAACTTTGAAAAAGCGTTCAAGAAATTCTACCATACAGGAACTGGTTACATTTCCCCTGTCTCCGTTGTCATAAGCTACGCCTGGTACTTCGAAAAGGATCGATACAATTGGAATTTACAGATTTGCGGCGATTTGAATACGTACAATAATCGATTGCCTTCAGGTCATAAGATTCAGCCTGAACATGTAAAAGATGTACTAACACAGCCGCAAACGGCTTATCACGGGCCTTTAAACGCTGACGACTTTTACGCAAAAGCAATACCGATTACTTTCTGTTTGGCGCAGGCAGCCGCTGGAAGGAAACCAGCAATGTGCGAGAAACATCCATCGTCTGAGATTAACTATTTATTAAATCTTTTTAAGGCCGACATGCATAGCATTAGGAAAAGTGATCCACATCCTTGTACTGGAAATTTCACCAAAAGCTGTTTGGATATTTTAGAACGTCACATTAAAAAAATCGGAGGAGAAATTAAAACAAATTCACGAAGAATTGAGTGGGAGGATTTCGAGAAAGTCGACACGCTCGCCCGTGTGGCTGGTGTTACCTGCCCTGCGCATCCTGTCTAAATTTTTTTTAACTTTTTCGGAAACATGAGCATGATGAACTCTGTCCAGCTTTTAGTCATTATCCGCCACTTGTCACGCGAGTTCGACATTTTATGTCACGCGAGTCACATTAAGTTGGCGGCATCATTCAACCAAACCTGACCTGACTTATGTGAAATTTCCTGAACAGGCCTAGCCAGAGGGCTACCACGCGCGCAGAATACCAATATGCTCAATATACCAGTATATAACTGAAATTCCAGGCTACGTACGTCTATCTGCCCGAGTACTTAATCTTACAAAAAGTATTATGTGTTTTATCGCCATGGATAAAAAAGTATTGTATACAGTACAAAAAGTATTATATATTTTGTCGCCATGCAATCCTACAGAGAACTTAAACCCCGTTCACACTATACCAGATTACTTTTCATACCGGATTAATTTTCGCTCCGAAGTAAGAAACAAGGGTGTTTTATACTAACTCTTTCACTGTCGCCATGGAAACAAGTAACATTTTTTGCCAATAGGCAATATACTAAGATTTATTAAAAACAAGAAGTAGCATACGCTTTCTTTGTAAAGTATAACTTTGTTTAATTAAAAAGCTTGCCCACCAGACGTTGGTTCGTTTCGCTCTAATTCAAAACTGACGAGTATTCCTTTAAATTTTTCTCTTTCGAAAGCGAAAAGTCAATGTTATTATCCTTTTCTTCATTTGTCTTCGCCAGAAATAGTAAATAGTTGTAAGGCGAAACAAACAACAGCTATAAATTATTGTAAAAGGGAGCAAATAAAGGCGACAATGTTAAAACATACACAACGAAACTGATTTTGTACCGAAGTGGTTACGCGGAGTGATTTTTGCTCCGCGTCGCGTACCGGATTACTGTGGCGTAGTGTAAACAGCAGCCGAATCCGGTGTCCCAGGAATTTCGCCCCCTTTAGGAAATTCACCCCCTTTAAAACTTCACCTTTCCTTTAGGATTTTCTTCCTCTGTTAAAAGTTTCGCCCTTCGCCAGTAAAGAAGAAAGACTCATAAATAACGAACGATAAAACAGTTTGTTTTTACAGAGCAATTCGTATTCTCGAAGTGAGTCCAGTCACGTGAGTGACTAGCGTTAAAACCAGAGGTTAAAACCGAAAGTTCCGATGTTTATGATGTCAATATATAATTACTGATGTTAAACAATATGCCATATATGGCGTGGTGTCTTCTTCTTAAATTTACAGTGTCAACGAAAGATGACTGTCACTATAACTACAATATAAACAATTTACGCTTCCTAACAGTTGCATGGGATAATTATTACATGGGTTTAGTCATTTGGAATCAGTATCAATTCAAAACTGTTGAGACAGAGCTTGAAATAACAGCCGATCGACAAGAAATTGCTTATGATCGGCGGAAAAGCAGGGTTTCCAACCTGAAAAAAAAACAGGGAAAGTCATGACTGCCGATCACCATGATCGTAAGAATACAAATTTACAATTACATGTATCGAATGGGCTTACAGTAAATCGATAGGACTTATGAAGCTTCACAGCACATCATGCATAGCATATTTTGCATTTTCAGTGTGAATCCTTAAACTCATTGTTCAAAAGTAATCACCGTGGTTGTTATTGTAATTATTGGTATTGTCAAAACCTTTTTTTTAACTGACACATGCATAAACTACAGTATATGTTTTTTTATAATCAAACCGTTTAATTTCATTATAAAGAGCACTAAAAATCTACTTGTCTCTACCGATGCAGTATTCACAAAATTATTCATTGCCATTGATTGAAAATAATTGAATTGGTTAGGTAATTCTTATCCTGATAGATCGTGTTTATGGTGTTTAGCCTATACTACCACATCGGTTGAGGCTAAGCTATAAATTTACTATCGTGTTTATATAACGAAATATACGTTTAGTTTCATTGTTATCAGGATTAACAGTAGTCGTGTAGTAACACATTGGCCAATTTTCAACTTGGTTACCATCGCCTCAGCGTGTTGTTATTTTCCTATGGCTGTGTTGTAAACACTGAAACACGACATCATTGTATTGACAAACATGATGGAATTGATCGAATTTCAAAATATAAAATAGACGGTCTTAGTATGTACAACGTGTCATACCCGTTCAAAGCCCAGAATTAGAAACATTCGTCATATAAATTGAGCATTATTCAATATATTAATTAGCCTAAAATGCCTATGTAATTTTGTCTCCTTATTATAATAAATAAATTTTATTTTTAGACAAAAATTAAAATTTATATGGGGGTGGCGAATTTCCTAGGATATTCGCCCCCCGGGGGCGATATTCCTAAGAATATCCCCCCCCCCTCTTTTGAGAGGGGGCGAATCTCCTGGGGGGGGGGCGAAATTCCTGTGACACCGGTATGAAAATCGCTACGCTCAGATGCAATCTGGTATAGCGTAACTTTTATATTTCAATCTATTGTAACAATGAAATACTGTATACCAAAATTAAAATTGTCTAAATACCAATATAACTGAAAGACAGTATAAATGTCTCTGTATATGTCCTGCAAAGTCAGAGCTATATAAATTTGATACGGAATCGCCAAATAGTGCATGGGCGGATATACATACACACATACGCTGGCCTCAACAACTCACGGCTGATTTCCATGAGGGGCGTGATTTTAGAAAGAATATACTGTACAGATAAACATTAAAAATACAAAAAAATACAAAGAAAGAAGAATTACTATATAGGCAACAAGACGAGCCAATTTTAAGTGTTTGCCTGATTAATATTATAGTTATTTGAAAAGAACTTAAAGATTCCGCTACTTTTACCTCATTCGGTAAATTATTCCATACTACCGCTCCGTTAGGGAGTGGTCATTATTTATGGGGAGGGGGGGTTGGGAAATGGGGAAAATAAGGATTGAAAACTTTTTTGACCCCCCCCCCCTCCAGACTGAAGGCAAACTTTTGTGCCTCCCCCCTCATAAAAGTAGAAACTTTTCTGACACCCCCCAGTGTGGATTGAAAAATTAACAGCAATGAAACAGGTGTGCGTTGCAGGTAAAGTTAGATATTAGGACAATCTGTTTAATCTAGCTCATGATGTTTTACCCTGGTGAATATGATTCAACCATATATGATTAAAAAATATATATTATGTGTTACTACTTTGCAATGCAACATTTGTCCTACCATAACCCTAACCCATGACCCGTCTTCATACAGTGAAATGAATTGAACACAGGGTTTTTTAAGAACTTGTCTGGGGGGTGGGCATCTACAAAAAGGAACCATACTATATTGAGTGTGTAGAGATGACAGATGGTTGTTGGTGACAAAAAGTTTGGTGTGGTATATCGTATGTACTAGTAGGGGGATCTGGGGGTATTCTCCCCCAGAACATTTTTTGTATTTTTCCACCCCTAGAACTGAAATGTGAGCATTTTCTGAAACAGACTTTTGGATATACAGCGTTACATTGTGCGTTGATAGACCGAATCTGATCAGTTAAGTGTACATGCATGGTATGTTTATGTAAATACCACAACTGGGTCACTCAGGTAGTAGAAAACTTGTTAAACTTAGTGGGCCCGACGATCGCGAGGCGCTAGGCGAGTCTCTAGATCGTTGGAAATAGCATTTTCAGAGTCTTCTTTTTTGCTATTTGTGATTATAGAAATCAGAACTCTAGACATGGTATTTAAGTTCAAAAACTTTTATGACCCCCCCTTTCTCTGTGTTAAAACTTTTTTAACCCCCCCCCCTATTTATAAGGGTAAAACTTCGTTTGCCCCCCTCCCATTCCCAACCCCCCCTCCCCATAAATAATGACCACTCCCTTATATTTGAAGCATCTTTTACCAGAATCGGTATTCGGTTTAGGAAGAGACAAATCGGTTTCTCTATTTCTAAGACCATAGGTATTATCACATTCATTATTCAATCGAAAGGATGTTCTTAGATTTGGTGCGGTGTGGTTATTCAAAATTTTATACATAAAAACAGATTTTAGATAATTTCGCCTTAGTTCTAGGTGTTTCCAACCAGGGATGCCGGAAGTTGCTGGGGGCAAGGGGTGCAATTGGTTAACAAGAGGGCATATTCCTTAACAAAAGGGCACTAATGAAAATGAAAGGGCATCTAAAAATTATTTTTGGCGACCTCCCCCCCCCCCCCCGTCGCCAAAAATTTTTTGGTCAGTGTACCATTTTAGGGGTAAAAAAAATTTTCCGGACATACCACAATTTTTCCTAAATACGAAAAAAATTTTCCGGACATACCGAAAATTTTTCCGGAAAATGTTATTTTTTCCGGAAATTAAAACATTTTTCCGGAAATAACATAGATTGAATTTTTCAAAAATGCCCTTTGCGCAAAAAATGCAATTTTAATGAAAATTTTTCACGCAAAAAGGGCACTTTGTGCACCCGTTGCACCCGTATTCTGCACCCGTACTGCACCCACAAAGTTGAAAATGCAAAAGGCAAGGGGTGCACTTGCACCCGCTGCACCCGTGGTTCCGGCATCCCTGTTTCCAACCCAGACTTTCGAGTAAATCAACCGACCGAACATCGTAAGTCGCACCAAAAATTACTCTTGCAGCCCGATTTTGAAATTTCTGCAACCTGTCCTTGAGGCCTGTTCCACATTTGTCCCATGCAGAGAGGGCTACAGTAATCTAAGTAGGGCTGTACAATAGCATTGTAGATCAATTTTAATGTCGCAGACGATACAAAGGGGCTACCCACTGAGCTATACTTGATATATCCGGACTCGTGCTCCAATACCTCGTCAGTCAAAAATGTGTGACCAAAAACATGGCGGATTTTGGCCAAATTTACGTCATTTTGACGACACAATCGACCTAAATTTATGGTGAACACCACTGACCTTAAATACTAAAGTGAAGAAAAAAGTTATTCACACCCCCCTTTCAATTTGCTTAAAGCTTAAAGAGGGTCTTAATGGGGGTCTATGGGTGTCAGTTGTCAGCTAAAATTTAAGCCAGTTGTTTGTGCGATATATTGCAAGCTGTCAGTAGTCGGTTACTGCAAAAAAGCTGACTCATGGTTTTTTCATTATTTCTCAGTTGTCAGTTAGGACATTTTGTCAGTTATCAGTCAAAAATTCAGGCAAATGTCTGTAGTCAGTTAACCCCATTCAGACCCTTAAAGCGAGACATTTGCAACCATGCCAACTTTTTGTTCAATTCCTGGTTGCCAAACGTCTACTGAAAGAAAGGACCTGTCCTCACAAGGGTAAGGCTTGTTTTTTGTAATAATTTAACGCATGTTGTATTGCTGTATTGAATACGTAAATTTGTGAATTCATGAAATTTATTGGCAAGCAACGTACAATACAATTTATGTTAGTGAATCATTGCATTTGACATTTTGTAACTTGGTTATTTATTGGTGTACTACAGTGCAAAAGCAGAACAATATTTTAAAATGTTGACCGGCTTGTGGAGCTAACAGATAATTTGTTTTATAATGCTATTTTAAAAAATTTCAAATGAGAATTTTGACAATATGATAATGATACGACTAGCTTTAAATGTACAAAGCCTTTCACTCATTGTATTGTCTTTATTGTGGACTAAACCATGTGTTGTTTAGTGTGGCATTGTTTATATAATTGTAAGTTATATGTATCGTATTGAACAGTGTAACTAGACACTAAAAACAATTGTTCATTTACTTGAAAGCTTTCCAGATGAGAAGAGATTCCCTGAATTGCACAGCATATGGGTGAAGACTGATAAGCAAACTTATGCCAGTGAAGTTTGTTCCTATGAAAAATAGTCGTTTGTGTTCGAAGCATTTTAGTGCTGATATGTTCGAGAAGGGTTACAGCCAGAGACCAGTGTTAAAGCCATATGCTGTACCAACAATCTTTAATGATTGCTTTGGTCAGGTTGGTTGTGATATTGGCCTATTCCAATAGATAAATTAAATATATAGGACAGTGACGGAGCTATGATATCTGCACTTATTCTCAGTCAGTTTGAGGACTTTGGCTGGAATTTTATCCAAACCATGAGTAGATTTGTTAGTCTTTAAGTTCATTAAAGCCAAGGCTATAGCTACATTCTCTACATTAATTTGATGGAATTGAAATTCTGTGTTTATTCGAGGGTAAGAGGATTAGGAATGTAACCGTTATTCATTTCCTCTTCATGGAGTTCATGATTTGCCTCAATAGTCAGATGCCAAGTTTGGGGCTATGTTAACAAAATATTCATTATATCCTTGGCAATAAGTTTCGAGTTGCTAATGTTACGATTATTTAACAGAGATTTCTGTAATACTGCATGTTGGCTTTATTATTCTTTCCAGTAAGAGAGTTTATTAGCGACCGGGTTTTTTTTTAAATCGTTTAGTTTAGCACACTCTCCAATCTCTCTATGATAGAAATCGGCTTTTGTTTTACGCATTCGTATATTTATTTTATTCCGCATAAACTGATACTTTTCCCAGTGTATTATACTGTAGAGTTAAATTTTATAGCATTTTTTTATGATAATCCCTCAGTTAACCTCATTAATTGCTTGATAGTGGGCGTAATCATGCAAGGAACTGGATTAGCTTTAGTTCTTCTATGTCAAAGAGGTGCATGTTTGTTTAGGATTCCGTGAAAAATAGATTTCCAAACAATCCAACATGTATTAGAATCGTATCCCAATGTACCTGAGATAGATCTGAACGAAATTGAGAGTCTGAAAAATGTTTAAAGTCCCGGACTTCTTTCACAGTAGGTCTAAATTTAGATAATTTAAATTTGCGTACAGTATATACCAAGCTATGATCAGAGATGCCAATGTGTAAGACACCTGCACGCATGATGTCGGAATGTTTTCAGGAGTATTTGTCAGAATAATGTCAATAGGTGACGATGTATAGTCTCAGTGACTCTCGTAGGTTCATTTATGACTTGTATTAATTGATATAGGGAGCACAATGCTTGTAGCTTTCGAGTACAGAAGTCCTGAGGCACATTACTAAAATCACAGTTTAAGTCCCCAAGCAAAATTATTTCCTTAGGGAGTGTTCATTATTTATACCCGGGGTTGGTACCGAAGAGAAATGGATTGGGTAAGGCATTTTTCTGGGGTATGAAGGGTTGGGTAAATATTGTTTGAACAAAGCCTATGGTTGGGTAAATTATTTTCAACACAAACCTTCAATTGAACAAAAGATGAAAATCCTTTATTTAACAAAATGGGTCATTCCAGGAAATATCAATTCATTCCCCACAAAGAAAACTAAACTCCAACTCCCCATCCCCTCTGATTACAACAACCAGATATGGTAGGATTGCAGGAACTTGGAGGCTTGGGAACATAATATGAACTTGTGAAGGTACAAATGATTATATTTGACATTCAGCTAATGATTATATTTGACATTCAAATATGCACAGTACTGTTTATACTATAGTGGTCTAGCTTGTATAATAATATATATGTATATATGTAAAATACTTGTATAATTTTGAAATTGGGTTGGGTAAAATAAAAATCCAAGTCATGCAATAGTTGGGTAGGGAAAAAAATGGTTGATCGAAAGGGTGGGTGGTTGTTTTTTTCTCTTTTCGATTAGTTTCTCTTCGGTACCAACCCCAGGTATAAATAATGAACACTCCCTTATCTTCTATATCACATTTAAAAAGAAATAGTTCAAAGTCATTAAATATGTCAATATCAGAACTGGGTGGTCGATACCATGTACCTATCAAGAAGGGTTTACTATGCTTTCTATTAACTTCATCAATATATATACATATCATTTCAAGGTCATCGGAGACTAAATCTTGTCTTTCAACATATGGAATATTGTTT